CTGCGTAAAGATAAAGTTGTGTCAGTTAGAAGCCCCATGTATGTCCAGATTCTTTTGTGAACAGAGGTGACTTTATTTACTTCTATTAGCTAACATTTAGACTACGCTTGTACATAGAGTGGAGTCCATATCTATGTAAAAGATATATCGCCCACTCCCCCACACCACACCACCAAGTTTTATCAAATAAGCACAACCCTTATGTTTACTTCTTATTGTTGTTCTTTTCTTGTAGTTTTACGCCATTTGTCTTATGATGATATTGTTAAACATGACATAGTATACCTCTGTGGGGTTAATATATCCATATTACGACAGCCAATATAATATTTCCTCAATTTCCTTTCGCGAGTCAAATTAAAAAATGGCCGCCAAAAATGTTCATTCAAATCAAATAATTTCATGGACTTATTTGGACCAATCATAATCACATAAAGTGATATTTTAACGTGTGGTAATATAAAAAATATGAATCTGCACTTACTATAGGTAAACTATACCTGCTATGTGATAAATATAGTTTTGTTATTTGATCTAAAACTTTGGTAGTCACACCAGTCGGTGTAAAAAAAATTATTGCTAAATGACGTGAAACTATAAGTGGATGTGCTTATACATTTGACAGCAAAAGGATGAATTTCGTGTACACAAAACAATAAGATGATCCTAAATTACCGTATATTTACTGTACTGCCGGATTGATGCGATGTTTTCGCCTCCCCTAAACTATGTTTATCAGCCTAAATGTTTATATTCATATTAAGGAAAAGATCGCACAGTGGACTAATTAAAATGTAAGGGACGGAAGCAATGTGTGAGCCTCACAATGCAAAACGTTTACAATCTTGTCGATTCTTTGCGCCGTCCGTTCTCTAAATCAGAAACAAATATAAGGCTGTTATAGGAAACAACTTGAAAAAAATAGAGAACATTTTTCTTATTGTCTTATATTTGTTGTTGGGTTTTTTGGCACCAATATAAAAAAATATCGGCATCATTCCAAAGCAATACATTGATGATTGAATTACACTTATGCGTTGCAATATGTATGAGCATGTTTGATCAAAACTATTTTTACTCATTTGTGAAACTAATTGGTGTATACATTAAATGATGCTATCCACTAATATGCAAAATCTAATTGCACTAATTATGTATAGAGAAGCAGTTTGACATTCGACATGACGCAGAATGTTACAAATGGCTTACAGAATAATGTACTCAATTATAAATAATGTACTCAATTATAAATAATGTACTCAATTTATAAAGTTAGCTTTAGATCTAATAACATGACTAAAAATGGATGTAAAGCTACCAACAATTGAACAAGAATGGCTATAATGCTACCAACCAAAAACAGGAAGAAGAATAGCTATAAAGCTACCAACCAACAACATGATGAATAGCTAACATAAACAAGCGAAAATTATGCCCTGTCAATATAGGTTGATAAATTAAAATTGTATAAAATTGTTCGTCATTGTGAAGTTCGAGTGTCGATTACTTTTGTCATATACAAATAAAAATAATTCATCAGAAAATATATTAGATCATATTCTAACTCAGATAGAAACCAAGATCCAAAGGTGTTGATTTATCTATATCAAGAAAAATGCTACGTCAGTAAGACAACATATGGCAAAACATAAAAAATTTTTGTTCATTATTTTAATTGACGTAATGTCACATAAATTATTTTCATTTATACATATAATTGTTCGACTGAGTCTGAATGGTGCTAATCAAGACACGAAATGATAGGAATTGGATTTACCGGAGGGGGAGAAATTAAAGCTACAGTACTAAACATATCAGGTATATATAAATGTCACAATTACGGACTGCCGTAAGCATGAAACATTTCTCAAGAGCGCGGGCCAAAAAAGTAATTTTTAAAGCCACACTTTATGAAGCAAATTAACAGATACAACCCAGTCAGTGGCCAAATCCACCCAAGGTCTTCAACATGATTATATTTGGTGGGTACAGAATATACAAAATACGGTTCTTAGGAAAAATTCTCAGAAACGGATGTTTAGAACATGATGAAGCTATCAAAATAGACAAAACCCATCCCTAATCTTTGTACGAGCTTAATTTGAAGTCATAATTTGTTGCTTTTAACATGCATTCATGGTGCCAAGAGTTAATATATACACATCATATTGAGAAATCCAGCATATCTAGTTGTAATATTAATTGACTGGAATTCTTTGATAGCGGTAATTTATGTCAATGCAAGGTCAAGTGCAGTAATCTATGTTTAAAGTAGTTACATATGTTTAAAACAAACAAAATACAAACTATGGTGAGCCTTTACTACCGACTTTTGAAAACAGTTATTAATTTGAATAACGCTAATGATTATTCTGACAAAAAGAAAAATTACAAAACATACATCATGTGAAATCAATACAACATAGCATACAATAATACTTCATGACTTAACTGCAGTAAAACAATATAATTTTGAAACATTTTACAACATACATATACAGATATACAGATGTACCTTTAGTTGGCATCCATACAGTATAATGTTAAAGAAGTATAGCACAACCCCACTAAAGAGTGAAACAATCAGCATTGGACATCAGCGTGAGCCTGGTTTGAGGTTAACGGTTACAATTTTCAAATACAGGAAGAAATCAATCATTCCCAACTGACGGGTTCTTGAATGTGCATTATTTATCGGTTGTATTTATCTAAGTCTTATATCTGTTTCATGCACGTAGCACAGAACAAGTCCCAAATAATGCACTTAATTACCACAATCCCCTTTAGACTCAACGTATACTTGACACAACCCCGAGAACTAGGCTAACAAAATTAGGTTCCGTTTTACGGAACTAACCTATTCTACAGTAATGTTCCTAGTACTAGACTAATTTCTCGGTCGGAGAAACATTCCCCTATCACCAATTCCATATAATAAATTAAACAATTACTAAACTCTAATAGTTTTATAAACGGAGAAGTAAAACGTAAAAAGAAGTAAAAAGAAAATGCACACGGCACGGTTTCTTACAATAAAAGCGTACATAGATATATTACAAATTGAAGTAAATACAAGCATGTACACACATGTGGGGATGATCAATGATTTTAAAACTAAATTATTTAAAATACCCCTGATTATTAGAGTTACTGCCATGTTTTGAAAATTCTTGTATTTTTTCGTCGCAGAGGTTTACTAAACTCACTTGCATTATTGCGTTTTAATGCACATTTCAAAATACTAAAGGCAATTTCACTGTTGTACATTCTAGTCTTCATCGTCATTATATACTTCTTGATTCTTTAGTGTAAGGTTTATTTTTCCTTACCAAAGTTTAATGTCACGATTTCAAGCTGCAGATAGCAAGTCATAGGACTGATGGCTTTAATTTTAACACCCTGAAAACTATTAATATGGGACTTGCATGGGACTTGCATAAAACTAAATTTTCAGAATTATACTACGCTATTATTTATCACAGAAGTTTACAATTTGCAATGAAGAAATGCTAAGTGAAATATTTTAACAATGTTTCATAAACAAATTTTGTTTCAATAAAAATTGCATTCATAAAAATCTGTTCCACTTATATTAAAACAATTCTCGTTGCTGACTTTAGTTTTTAATAGTACATGTATAAATGTATGATATGTTTGTCCATTTATAATACCCACTAAGACACCTCATATTTCAACATTTTTAAACCACACATATTACCATTTTATATTCTGTTGTTATTGGTTTTGGTATTGTTCATTTCGGTACTTTTAATATCTAGCGATGTTTCTGGCTTTTTTCTGAAAACCTGCTTGCCATATTGGTAAAGACAAATGACGGATTGTTTCGTTTTTGGTTCGCTCTCTTTTCTGATGATTGGGCTTTTTTAAGTTTTTAATTTATGTTATTTTAGTGATTTTTTCAAACCAGTTTAACTTTAATAAAACTTGCTATAAATATATGCTTTCCTGTTTTTTTTCCACATAAAAGAAACATATGCTTATAATGAAAAAACTCAATTAGCATCCGTGAATGAAATGACTTACATTTGAATATCAATTAAGTGTTACAGATCGACAAATTTAGAAACACCACCTGCCATCTGAATGTCAACAAACACCAGATATGCATTCGGATATAAACGTGATTTTGCATGACCAAACTGTTCCATTCCGAAGACATTCTATTGTTGATTATTTTTTCTAACAATCTATAAATTAAAACAAGTTTCTTCCTCAATGCAACTAAAATCCTTGAGCATTATCATATAGCTATCTAAACACATATAATGTCTCGTTTCTTCATATCGCTATAATCCTTTAAAGAAGGTTATAGGAACTAGACATGTCATTGCAATGACTATTTTACGTTTGTCTGTAGTTATTATAGTTTATTATGCAGCAGTCACTCACGAATTGTCCTATCCGATGAATAAAAGTACACAAGACTCTCCATAACAATGACCATGAGCAAGATTAATACCCAATCACGAACATTATATCTGTAAAGGTATTAAACCAACAATTCCAGTTTCATACTGAAAATGCCGATCTCGCTTTATTATATATATATATAAAGAAACATTCCCCTATCACCAATTCCATATAATAAATTAAACAATTACTAAACTCTAATAGTTTTATAAACGGAGAAGTAAAACGTAAAAAGAAGTAAAAAGAAAGTGCACACGGCACGGTTTCTTACAATAAAAGCGTACATAGATATATTACAAATTGAAGTAAATACAAGCATGTATATATATATATATATATATATATATATATATATATATATATATATATATATATATATATATATATATATATATATATATATATATATATATATATATATATATATATATATATGCCGCAGACATGTAACATGATGTCCCACCCAGACACATTATCTTGACACCAGGCTGACCAGTCCTAAGACTAACATGTTAAAGCTGAGCGCCTAGCGAGGCAGCTGTTAATACCATTTTTTAAAGTCTTTGGTATGACTCGGCCAGGGTTCGAACCCGCGATCTCCCGCATCTGAGGCGGACACTCACCAATAGACCACCGGAGCGGTC